TTTTAATTACCTTTGAGGAAATCTCCATGCAAAAACTTAATCAAGGAAGACCAACGGTGTTCGATGGTTTTACTAATTTGACCACTCATGGGACCCAAAAGAAATCTTATGAATATATGAATTAACAAATTAAATAAACACTAGCTAAATTGTAAAGCAATTATATAACCGTTACTTAAAGGCAAAATAAAGTATCAGTTTGTTGAGAATGAGCGTTCACAGAAATTTACTAACTCGAAATTTGTTCTAAATGTTAAAGTCATTTCAAAATCCATTGTAGATGAAATCGAGTCAGGGTTTGATTACTGCCTAGACTCATACTTAGGGCATTAGGTTTTAGGGATCCAAAAATGATGTTATAACTTCTCAAAAGCCCTTTTTTTACGCGAAAGCAAGATGAGTGTGAAGTGGAAGCTGCTTCTATATAAGCTCTGTGCTGTGCTTAGGGCCCTAGACTGTTTTAAGCGAAGCTGGAATCCGACCACTGAAAAAAATCTGAAATTTCTAAAGAACGGAGTTGCTTTCCAATTAAGTCCAGCTCTTAAAATTTTGTGATAATTATGCTTTTCATTTCATATTAAACCCTTAAAGATATCCTCATTTAAAGCATTCCGAAAGGAAATTTCGGTTCCAAAAGCTATTTTTCATTCAGAGAAAAGAAACGGCATTGGATTCTAAATTACTCCAGTGCATGATCAGATTTTAAATTAAGCCAATCAACCTGACATTTAGTTTCTGGTACACCAAATCACGGATTCTTTCATGCGATATAACGTAGCTCATCCACTTAATATCCTATCACTCACTTCGTAAAAAGATTACTCGAAATAAGCAACAAAATCTGTCGCTGTCAAAAAGTTATCTTAGTGTATGATGTATATCTGCAAAAAAATATCAATGCTTTCGCGCATGTTCAGATAGAGTGTGGAAGGGCACCGACCTATTTTCTGCCCAAAGGGTTAAGAAGCTTACACGCAAACATAGGTTACACTCACAAAAAAAAAACCTACAAAAAAAGTAATTTATTTCTTTTAACTCTAGAGTATACCTAGCTTTCAGCCCTTTATAAAAAAAAGGTATCTGAAGGTCAACGAAGTGTAGGTTTTTGGGAACTCGAGCTGCCTACGGCCCATAGGCAAGCCTACGGCGATGTATCTTCGAAACTACTCAGTTTCGTATGACAACTATATTAATAAAAATGATTAATTGTCGCGTTTTTTTTCTCCGCAGTTTTTTCCTTCACAAATCGAGTGCTTCTTGATTGTTATGACTATCAAGTTTTAAGACTGATTTATACCTGTCATTACTAAAGATGTATCGCAAAGACTTTCAAAAAAGGAATATTTGCAGTTAGCATACAAGCAAAGACAGACTAAGACTTTCACAATAGGGAACTTGATAAGCTCTTTTTTTAAAAAGTACACGTACTTATCTCTCGTTAAAAATAAACAAAGAAAAAATATCAAACAGTTTTACATTTATTTCTATTTCGGATTAACCTAATATTAAATTTTTAGTAACATGTTTGACAATTTTGCAATGCAATTCTAGCATAAGGAAAGAATCTAAAAATATTTTTAAGTCTTTTTATCTCGAATCTTGGCTGTTCCTAAACACATTTTCATGCTTGTTTCTTTTAAGATTCAAAACATAATGCAGGGCAAAAAAGTGATTTTGTTTTGTTTTCTCTCAACGAAACTGTGATTCATATTCATCAACTTTTAATATTTTTATCAAGGACAACAATAAGCTTCATTAGTACGTATAGCTGTGCCTTTTCATTTGAGAGCGATGTGTGGTTTTCCAAAATCAATACATAACTGAATAGCTAAAAAAGGACACGGAAGCAAAAACTGAACACGTAGTTGAGTCGTGGTTTCGATTTACCCTATGGAACGGTAGCCTGATTCAGTCGTTTTCTTAGAACTCTTAGGCCCACCAGCAGCCGAGTAGTAAAGTCGCTGAATACTGGTAAAGTTCGGTTCGAGGTTTGAATCCCGCGAACGGGCTGGCTGCATGGGCGTTTTCATGGTTTTCCCTATAACCCTTGTTCGAGGATGTAACTTTGTCAAAGAAAGTTCTACAGTGATTTATTATAATTAATTAACGAGCTAGCAAAACAAGCAAGTGGTTGTTAAAGAAATAATTCTTATTCTGTTTATTCTTAATATCTTTTCGCTTAAAAGATTTTCCATTTAAAATACGTTTTTCCAGATACATTTCTAGACAACATTCTAAACAGGTTCCATTCCTCGTGTTTCAAAAAGAATGAGCGGATCTTCGTTATCTGCCAAACTTTTATTTCTTGTAATACAAAAATGTTACATGCATAAGGTGTCAGGATATCAGCTGATACCGAAAATATGAAAATTATGTTCTTTGCTTCTTTAATTTTCAGTGTATTTTTTATTGTAAATTAAACCTAAAATTCATTTATGTCACTTCGTCAGCAGAAAAACAACAAGATAATAAACATGTTTGCTATGAAACTCACAGCTGTCTAGAATTCAATACGATTGTATGCGGTTACTGACAAATCATAGTGAACGCAAACGTCGAGGGAAAAACAACACAAGGGAAAAACATCGTCATTAAGAACTTCGTAGGAAAAGAAAGCAAGCGGGAAAACACTACAGTTCTAAAACATTGTGGTAAAAAATAAAACAGTTAAAAAAAACCCTCCGAAATCTAAAACTTCGTCATAAAAATAAAGCACCTACAAATAGACACATGATGATAATAACGCAGATATGCGTTTTCAGACTTTAAAGTTTTAAATGCATATTCGCGATGTAAGCGAGAGAAGAAATGAGGATTATTTTGAATTTTTACATAAAACCTAATACAACTTTATAAAAGAGATTAATTAAATAACGATAATTAAATAATGACCTTATACTAGTTAACAACTTAAGTTAAGAATTCTATTAACTGCTATACGTAGCGTAAGTTTCCTTGTTGCTTTTCAACACAAATTTATTAGTCAATTCAATTCGTCTCTAAGTATTTCTAAAAGATGCTGTTGTACATAGAGTATCGGATGCTTCTGCAGCTCTGTTGAAACGACTGCTGCACAGTCCTTCTAGTGACTTAGGTGGGCACCTCAGCTATGATTTGGTATCCCTGGCTACGTACAATACGATCTTCTAAGTCTTCATTACGATCATTCAAAGTTGTTTGTTCCTTGCTCTTTGCCCAATTACTCTTTCCCCCCCTCCGTATACTGTCGCCTTACTGTTGATAGTTTGGAAAGATAAAATCTCTAATTCTCTAATTATTTGTGAAACTGAATGACTCATGCATCTAGCACTTGCTATGTGCCCTCGAGCGAAAGCGTCTAAATCGCGAGTTTTACCCATTACCTTTTAACAACTACTTACGGTTGTACTTCCAGCTATATTCCTACAGCAGCGTCTTTACATGCACAGAAAAGCAGCAACAGCGACACAATATTTGGACAACACTATCTATCCCTAATTCTCCTTCAGTACATCATTTATTCTGATTGGAAGAATCCACCTGTAACCTATTTTTTGAGCGCAAACCTCTAAAGACATAGACATTGATAATGATATTTGCCCAAGACACCGTAAATAAGTCCCGTGATTTTTGACTTGACTTGTATCGAATGGAAAGAGAATGTGCGGAATAAAATAATTCTCTTTCCATTCATTATGTCGTATGGAAAGAGAATGATGCAGAGTAAAAGCGCTCTGCATCAGACAAAAGAATGTCTGGAACAACAAAAGGAAAATATGAAGAATCAAGATGGTAGAATGGGATATTTCACTTAGCCGCCATCAGTCGGCGAAGAAAGATGAAATGAATAAAAATAGACCAGCAATGTGAAAAAAAGTTGGATCAGTAAGGTAGTAGATACTTCAAATAATTAACAAAATGTTAGGTTAGAATATCCGAAGGATATTTGTGTTTTGCTCTAATAAAAGGTGGGCATCGCAAAGAGCTGATACAGCTGTTTGGATGTAATAGTACAGAAAGGAAAAATTTTGTTGCAAGTTTTTTGATATAATTTTGTATAGTATCAATTTGAAGATCTCTGTGAATATATGAATTTGGGATGAACCAGGGTGCATTAATAATTTCACGAAGGGTTTCATTTTGAATAACTTGGATCTTTTTCAAGGAAAAGCTCATCAAATATCCATCTGACAATTCAGAGTGTGTATATTTTCCGACTACTCGTAGCTCAGCTGCTTTCTTTTACTTTATAAAGTATTACTGGCATGTTAAATAAAAACAAATACAATCGATTTAGATTTCGTTAGCCGTTTGCTTCTATGTTCATAACAACGCTAATATATGCATAAGAATATAGCTTTTATGCATCTGATTAATGTATTTGTAATGAATAACTAACTAACGATAGCTAGCTCGATTTATATATCTGAAATTGAAATAGATTATAGATATTTCTAACGTAAAATTTGTCACATGTGAATGAAAAACTTACAGAAATAAAATGAGCTAATTTTTTGGTAAATTATACATTTGATTAAGTACTTAAACTGTTTTTGTGCTATTTTAATTAAGCAAAAAAAAAGACTTCACAAGTTAACAATAGAACTATTTCGCGATTTTAATCAAACATTCCTCTGGAAATGAAAAATTTAACATTTTACTGGTTAGGTGTATTTGTTTTTGGTGTAAATATACCATCGGACATTTTTGTCAATATTTTAATAGGGAAAATTATTTCTTAAATGACGAATTTTACGTAATTACTCACATTAGTCAAAATAAATACCTCATAAACTTCGAATATTTATAAGCATAAATATTTCTTTTTACAATCATTTCATATTCATGGTATTCTTTTTATTGAGCTTGCTTAGAAAAAATAAAATTTTCTAAGATTGCACTGGGAAAATTTTAAAAATGATCAAAACCTTCGTGATAAATTCTCAGAAACCCATCGTTAACAAGCATGAACAAACAGCGTAATTAATTTTTAATGAATAATGATACAGAAAATAACTTACTTTGAGTCGAAACATAACTCAAGCAGTTAGCAACAAGCAGGAAGCAAAAAGTACTTAAGGCTGTCTTCATGCTTCATTCCTTCATCATGCATGCATTTCCTGTTAGATAACAAATAATTTTTAGGCGATATATTACAACAGCATGTGCATATTATACAAATTCAACACAGATTAGAAAATTACTTTTTGATACTAATAAAGTAAAAATATTTAGAAAAATATTCAACACCTAAAGTAAAGTTTTATCAGAATTTATCATTCAGTTTACACCTGTTGACCTAGAAAAAATTCCTTTTGCTTCCTAGTTTATTGCACCAAGTCAGATACTCAATTCAGCAGAAGTTACATTCAACTCCATTTTTATTATTAAGGATTATTTATGCACTGCAAAACTTCTCAGGCGCTCCTGTTATACTTGAATTATTTCATTCAGTTCCAAAGTAACATTTAAACAAATTTCATCAAATTTTTTTTATTCAAGGAATTTTTAAATAGTAGACCCAAAATTTTATACTCACTTTATTCACTTTCTTATGTAAATTACTTTAATACTTCCTCTTTGGCATATTTAAATATTTTATTTTCTACAACTCAAGATTAAATTTTAAACATTATTCAAAATTTTCACAGTTTTGATTACGTTCCGATGAATTATGCTCTGTTAAAATTATAGTAGGAATTTAATTTATATACATTACGTCAATTTCAGTGACAGTCTTTCTGAGAAAAAGCTATGTGGCTCTTTTTTTGTCCCAAGAAAGAAAATACAAGAGAAAGAAATGCACGGGAAAAAAATCAGAGAAAATTTAATTATGAGTAGTTTTACATTTAAATATATCTGATGTATAAAAAATGTAACAGAATGATATACAGCCTTAAAATAGAATGCTTTAGGATGATTTCGCAACATGACCCGTTATACCCCCATTTCTCGATAAAAACAGTATATATATATATTTTCTGGGGTATTTCATTTACATAATTGTCTAAACAGAAAAAATAATGCACATTCAAGCACACATTACCATTAGATATGCATTTTTCTGTAATGTATATGAAGATTCATATAGCTATGAAATATTTCATACGTCCCTGTTAACAGGTTTGCAATATGCTTGTCTTATAGATCAACAACAAGAAGTTCATTATTTAAAATAAGGCAAATTAAAATTCTAAACAATATGATAGTTCAGCTGTTTGCCAATACCCGTCCCATGACGGATCACTATGGCATGGGAATTTCAGGAATTAGGCAACCCAGATCATTTTTAGCATAGAAAATGAGCATGTATATGCTTCCATTGCCATAGCATTTGAGATTCTTTTGAAACATGAATTCCTGATAATCATTTGAGATGTAATATATCGAAAGAATTTTTTTTTGTATATAAATTATTTTTTGTCTTAAACTGTAATGTACATATTTGATATTTGCAACACAAGGATAAAATAAAATAAGAGCTGTTATCAAATTAATATTCGGAGCTCTAATTAAAAAAGAAAGATGAATTTATAAAGCACATATATTTATATTTTCGATAGCTTCTGAAACTGAACTGAAGTTAATGTTTAGAATTGTTTAAAATTTCTTAACACTGAAAGCTTACCTCAAAGTCTCGTTATAATGATACTAAATTTGATGCAATAAAAATTGTATGCAGCATCGTGAGAAATGAAGAAAATGAGAAGAATGAATCCCTAGCTGATGTAAACGCAATCTCAACATTCAAATTTGCCCACGCTCCTTGATTTTTATGTTCTGTTTAGTACAGCATAGAATAACAAAGAATTAATAATCATGAAAAATAGCAAAAATACCATTAATGTATACTCATCGCAAGCAAATGATTACGAAAACTTGCTTACATATTTTCTCCTAGTGGAAATACCCGTAAGCGGAAAATACAACTGAGTAACAGGAATTGCTGGCCTAAGGAAAGGAGGTTAAAGAGGCTAAAGACGCACTCAAAAGTCTAAAGCATTCGTTTTTATTACAACCATGAGCAAGCAATCTACTTTATTAAAGATAACGGCTTGAAGATACATTTGACAACTATAAACAACCGCAGGATTTAACCAAAACAACAATAAAGCAAAAAAAGAGCCCACATATCTATTAAATTAATTGCACTTCATGGAAGTCCTCTTATAATATCTTAAGGGTAAAGTAGCCTTCGCATGCTTTGCTATAATCAATTAACTTATACAAAAAATTAATTTTGAATTCAATAAGCCTAATTCCTTGCTTAAAGGGAAACACATGAGTGATACACGAAACACTTTAAAGCCCCGTCTTACGCGATGAGACATATCTCCGAACAAGTCTCCCTTGCAGACATGTCTCCTGATTGCATTTCGTCTATGCAGAAAGATTTTGTATTAAGTTCTCTCTGAGCTACTAAACCAATCAGAGTAGTATCTCCATCGGATCTCACAAGAAACATATTAGCCAGCAAAGTTTTCAATGTCTTCATTTTTCAAAGCATATTTTTTATATTGTATATTTATACAGTTGTAATAATAATAACAAAGATAAACGGAAGACTTAATAGTAGACAGAAATTAACAGTGATTAAAAGTGCCAATAAAAACGAAAAAAATGCAAAATACGAGAAATAAATAAAAATTGTTAAGGGGTGTTGGAACCCCAAAATCTTCAATAAATTTTGATTTCGGATTTTTGCATTTTCAAATTCTCTACACTTTTAGCTTTCTAAAAATACCATTCTTTAATCTCTATGAAAATTAGAACTGTACAAAAATCTAGTTTTAATTTGTCATCTACTGCTTTGATCAATAAGGATTTTTACATAAAAACGCGTTTTTCTCCTAACGTGATTTTTTTATATTCGATGTACCTTTTCTCAGGAACTTCTGCTCACAGGTATTGAACTTTTTATGGCTTATTTATTAGGTTCCCTAATATTTACTGAAATGAGCTTTTTGTAATAAACTTAGAAATATATTTTTTAAAAAATTTTTTTGCTTGAGAAAAGTGCTAAATTTTACTATGCCTAACAAAATATTCTGTAATTTACTCTAAAATTCAAAATGTTTCAAAAGCTCATTTCAGTATAATCAGATAGGTATACTTTAATTACAGAAAAAATTTCAAGCTTGTATCTACAGCAGATTTTGAGAAAAGGTACATTGAAAATGGCCAATTTAACATTCTCGGTATAGGGATTTCTGATACCCCTTAATTAAAAAAAATAAATTAATGAAGGGGGAAATAAAAGCAGTTAATTGTGAAATGTAATATATATATATGTAATATAAAAATATGAAAGCGAACCTCTAAATTTAATTCACTATAACCTCTTTTATTTTTTATTTCATTTGGAAACTTCATCGCTCTGTCCTAAAAATAGCGCTGTAAGTCTAAACTGCGTCATTCAAATTAATCATGCGATGTTTCGTAACCCTTAATTCAGATGCCTCTTAACCAATCACGAAATTGTAAACCGAAACTAAAAACTGAAACTTTTGACTCCCTCCCTTCTTTCTACTATGAACTGATGCGTCCCTTTTGCTTGTACTTTCCTCTTGGCCAGACGTCTTTGTGCAATCATGTGTGTGCTGCTATGTTCACTTCTATGGCAATAATATCAAAAGTGTAAATGTTCTTTAATAGGCACGAGTAGAGTGCCAAGTGAAATTGTGGCCACAAAATGAGAGTTTAAATAAAATAAAAAAAAAGAAGGAATTTAAGCCGGCTCGACTGCTTTTTCTTCAAAAATGGATGGACGCTCTAAGCATCAAGTATCTACGCAATTAGTATTTCTACGCATCTACGTCTCAGTGTTCTTATTTGAGAGCCTCCAAAAGTGTTCTGTCATTACATTCTTCGGCCAGTTCTAATTATGAAAAATTCTACACGAGTTTGTTAAGCAATGTTGACAGTGAATCATGGGAAAAGTCCTGTTTCATCGGAAATTTTAATGCAAGTTTGTACCTCATTTATGATCAAATCATTCATGTCGTGTCATCCAACCACAGTTTCATTACATATATATGTAAGATGGAAAAATATGTAAATCAGAATTAAACTAATTTAAACTAACTCCCAATTCCCTTTCATTCTCGGTTCTAAAAATCGTAATAACTTCTCTCGATTGCGTCAGTTCTAGATCGTTCCATTTTGCATGGCCCACGCAGCGCTGATGGCGTAATAATTGGGAACTAAAACTTTTAACTCAAACCAAAACCTTTCTCTTCGTGTGCTTCCATCTTGCATAACTTTTCACTTCAGCTTCCCTCTGTGCGCTGCTTGGACGTAATTTCGCTACCTATTGCAATAATATAAAAATGTAAATGTTCTTGAATAGTCACGACTAGAGGGCCAAGTGAACTGTGGCCACAAATATCAGTTGCGAATAAAAATGGAATTAAATCTGCCAAATTTTTTATATATTGCGAAGTCAAGATATTAGCATACTATGCAATCAGAATTCCTCCTCTTCAATACGGATCTAAGATTTATCCTATATAGTTATTACGCATCGAAGCTGCTCCGTCTTTTCCTTGGTATTAGTAGATATATAGGTATACGCATATTTTATATTTTAAAATTAACTGCTTTCTGTATATAAATAATGATTACTTAAAAAAGAAAATAAATCGATTACGTCATATATAGCATAAAATATAACACACATTGCTGATAAGTAGATTCATAATAAAGCATCTTTTTAAGAATATGAAAGAGGAAAAACAAATTTTATCATTTTATAAATAACGGAAAAATCTAATAATTATATTTATGTAATTAATATAAAATTATTAAGTAAATAATTAACTGATATAAAATTTTATTTATAATATTTAAATAATAACCCTTTATTTATAGTAATAAAATACTGTAATTACTCTATTATTACATATTTACATGTAAGGATTTTTTTAATTTTATATTAACAGATCTATTAATTACAGAATTATTGAAACAACAAAAAATTTATTTTCGGTGGAAAAAAATCAGAAAATAATTAGCTGTATTTGAACTGATACTCTGCTGGTTCACGGAAAATTTAAACACTTCATATACTGGGTCAAGCGATTGAGCCAGTTTGTTGAAACCAAACGTTGAAAAAGCATTA